AGAGAGAGAGAGAGAGAGAGAGAGAGAGAGAGAGAGAGAGAGAGAGAGAGAGAGAGAGAGGATGGGGTTGGGGAATTGTTGTTTTGTTACTTCTATATTCCATGTGGTCAATATTTTGTAATTTCCGATCCGATGTTATTGAAAAAGTTGCATTGGGACACAACTAAGATGGAGAATGTAAACAAGAATACTGGAGACGATATGACTGAGCAAGTGCCGGATAATATATCTAAAAAAACCCTAGAACAGTTTCTGAAATCTGAGGTTAGTTTACGTTTATACTTTATATGTTTAACTGCCGCAAAAACTGATCCCTGAAAAAAGAAAAATGCAAACAAGTCAGATTTAAACCAAGAAATTAAAGCTCCCTTGTTGGCCCTTGACTGACGCCTTCAGACCGTCACCGTCCAAATCCGAGCCGTTCGTTCGACTTTCTGAATTGTTGACAATGACATTTAGATCTAAACTAGAATCTATAAATAATGATAGAGGTAAGATTGAACTTTGGTGGATTCACCGCTGGGAGGGGCCGTAACTTCTTTTGGGCGTCGTGTAATGCCATGCGCTGGTCTACTGTACTTCCTTGGGCCGCTGTGCGGCATTTGGCCGCGCTGCGCGAGCCCTCTCTCTCTGCTCTTCCTCCCTTGCCTGCATCCTCTCACTTCGGGCACATATAGATCTAGTCAACTGAAAGTTCCTACCGGATTTTTGGACCGCAAAGCCCTCGAGTGCGCGCGAGTGGCTAGACCCAAGCGCTGATTGGTCAATCTAGAGTTAATCCTGTGGTGCGATTAAGCGATCTTTTGTGGATATCTCTGGAAGTTACAGGTCGATCTTCATGATTTTTTCACCAGAAGTTAGAAAAACTTTCTCTCTATACGGTGTAGCACATTACTGTAACAGCAGTTTAAAATTACTATATGTTGTGGTGGTGTTTGTTTGGTAACGTGTGTCTGGTTGATGCGCAAGGTGTTTGTTTGGTGCAACATATGTCGTCTGGTTGGGTGCGCAATAGTACCATGTTTACAGCTCTATATCTAGATCTAGCTCTTTTCTGACACTTTTCATCTTTCTCTATCCTGGCCTTGTTTGGCTTCTTTTCCTTGCAAGAAGTTCCTGTGCTGACCATAACAGAAGACCAAGGTTAATGAGGCGTTATCTTTTTGGGAGCTGTGCGCCCCCTATCAGGAGATTTCCTTACACCGTGTGTATGTGTTTTGATAATGGATAAAAAGAAAGGTGCTGTGGACCGAAGAAGGGGAAAGAAGAAAACAAGAATTAGACTGACTAGTATTTTTGAAGGAAAAGGACAAAAAAGAAGAAGAAAAAGATGTGAAAAGAAGAAATTGAAAAAGAAAGGTGCTGTGGACACAAGGAGGTGAAAGAAGAAAACAAAATTAGACTGTACCTAGACAAGTATTCTTAAAGGAAAAGGACAAAAAGGAAGAAGAAAAAGACATGAAAAGAAGAAATTGAACATTTTGGAGATTAAATTTCCATATTAATTAATTTTGACATGAATGTATACATTAACTGATCATCTTCAATGGCAATATAATGCATCCAAATGGAAGGAAAACAGTCTGTTTCAGTGCACAATGCAGGTCATAGAAATAACTTAATAAGTAAAACAACCAAAGGGCCTAGAAGCCACACTATCAATGCCAAATAGCAAAAAAGCCTATATTGCGCACTGAAACGGACTGCACAAATTTGGTCTGCTTCAGTGCGCAACCCTATCTGGCATGTTCCTGGGCATTAAGAAGCAGCCTGCGATAGTATTTATCGATTCTAGTATACATTCTATGATACATTAGAGCTAGATATGTGCTAAATAATGGACTACTCAAGCGCTTAGTAAATTCACCGATACCAGTTACGAAAACCATCAATATGAAGGGGCAAAACTTTCCCACACCGTAGAATCACGTGTGTTGACAGGAACCTCCAAAACGAAAGTGAAATTAGCTGCATTCTGCGCATGCTCACAGAAAGTGACCTCGTTTTCGCTGTTCTTATCCAAAACAAAGCAGTAGACCGGGGGTTGCGCACCCAAACAGATGCGCGGTGACGCGGTCTGACTCTAGTCTCCCCCTCTCTTTACTGGTCCGGTAAACTTCACCCGCGCCTCTATCTCTCATGGTACCTCTAGTCTAAAGTTGGCCTGGCCTCGGCTGGCAAAGTGGGTCCACTAAAGTTCTTCGGCAGAGCCAACTATTTAAAATGTTCCTGGTCCACTTTTCTTTTCTCTGTTTATTATTGATTTGAGTGTAAATCTATGTGTGTTTTCTTAATTATTATTGTAGCCAGGGGGAGCAGGCCCCCCTGTAACCCCCCACCTCCCACCCACCCCGGCTGTCGAATACTAGATCTATAAGTTATCATAACTTAATTAAGTGCTGAAGGTGCGGTCCACCAAACGTAAGCCAGCCTCCAATCTAGTCTTCCCCCTATCTTCACTCAACTGGTCCGGTAAACTTCACTCACGCCTCTATCTCTCATGGTACCTTTTAGGCCTAATCTAGGCTGGCTAAGTGGGTCCACTAAAGTTCTTCGGCAGAGCCAACTATTTAAAATATTCCTGGTCCACTTTTTTTCTTCTCTGTTTATTATTGATTTGAATGTCTGTGTGTTTTCTTAATTATTATTGTAGCCAGGGAGGCAGGCCCCCCTGAAACCCCCCACCTCCCACCCACCCCCGGCTGTCGAATACTAGATCTATAAGTTATCATAACTTAATTAAGTGCTGAAGGTGCGGTCCACCAAACGTAAGCCAGCCTCCAAGAAATTATGCAACAATGGGCAATTGCGGGCTCATGCGCACGTGCGTTAATTTGCATTGTTTGAACTGATAGGTCATCTGGAGATCTCTGCATTGTCCTGCTCATTTTAGTTAGTACCTTGTTGTTTGTCGATGAGGCATGATGTCGAACAATGGCTTCCTATCATGACTATTTTTGTCATTTAGCAGAGATTTTACATTCCAATGTAACGACAACGTGCAATTGTGGTGCATATTTTTCGTCATTAAAGAATTTTTAAGAAACTTGGAGGTGCCAGAACAGACAGTGCAGGAAGAAATTAAAAAGCCGGTCAGTTTACAACTTTGTCTCGTCCCCCCCCCTCTCTCTCTCTCTCTCTCTCTCTCTCTCTCTCTCTTTCGTGGCATTCTCACAGCCCTCACTCACTCCGCCTTGCGTCGCCGGGAACTAGTTCGCGTCATCATCATCATCAATGCCTTTCACCCCTGGCAGGGTATAGGCCACATACAAGCTCCTTCCATTTATCTCTGTCCTGAGCCATCCTTCCAAGCTTGTTCCAAGTGAGCTTCATTTCTCTCATGTCCCTTTCCACGCATCTCCTCCATGTTTCCCGTGGCCTACCCCTGCC